AGCCAAAAATGGAGTTGTGGCCCAAGTGGTAGAGCACTAGCTTTGAGCACAAAAAAATTAAGGGAAGCCGGGCGCTGGTGGCTCACGCCTGTAATCCTAGCTACTCAGGAGGCTGAGATCTGAGGATCGCGGTTCAAAGCCAGCCCGGGCAGGAGAGACCGCGAGATTCCTATCTCCAATAAACCACCAGAAAACCGGAAGTGGCGCTGTAGCTCAAGTGGTAGAGTGCTCGCCTTGAGCTGAAGAGCTGAAGGACAGCGCCCAGGCCCAGAGTTCAAGCCCCATGACCGACAAAAAAAAAAAAAAAAATTAAGGGAGAGTGCTCATGTTCTGGGTTCAAGCCCCAGGACTAGTGCACAGGTGTACACAGACGCAGGCTTAAGCATATGCATATGTATGTGTCTCTATGTGCACACGCACGCACACACACAAAGAGAACAATGCTGGGTATATTATAAACTCTATAAAGGTTAGGTATTATTCCTAGCATTATTAAAATAGTAAGGATATTTTTAAATGGCATACATTTAAATGGTCATAACTTGTGAAACAAAGTTATTGACCCTGTGCCAGAATTCAGCTTTATTATTCCATGACATTCCCAAATCTCAGAACCCTTGACCTGAGCCATGCTATGTGAATGGAGTGGTTGCTAATCATGTGAGAATTACTGTCAATTCTAGCAAAGGAAAAGTGCATGATTTGCGGGGGCTGGGAATGTAGCTTAGTGATACAGTGCTTGCATAGCATTCATGAAGCCCTGGGTTTGATTCCTCAGTACCACATAAACAGAAAAAGCCTGAAGTGGCACTGTGGCTCAAGTAGTAATGTTAGCCTTGAGCAAAAGGACAGTGTCCAGGCCGAGTTCAACACCATAGGACTGGCACACACAAAAAAGTGTTTTGTTTTTGTTACTTTTGTTTGCTTGCTTTTTTCCTGCTCTGCTTTATTTTTCAGATAGTGTTAGGTACTTTTGCCCAAGCTGCTCTTCAACCACTATCCTCCTACTTATCTGCCTCCTGCACAGCTGGGATTTTAGGTGGTAAACACCAGCACATTTAGTGGAAAATGTTGTTAAATGCTTTCATGGTAGAGCTAGGAGAGATTATTTTTCAGCAGATTTTTTAAAAATGGGCCGGGAAGGTGGTTCAGTGGTAGAGTGCTTGCCTCCCATGCATGGGACCCTGGGTTTGATTCTTCAGCACCACGTAAACAGAAAAGGCCAGAAGTGGCGCTGTGGCTCAAGTGGTAGAGCACTAGCCTTGAGCTGCAGAGCTAAGAGACAGTGCGCAGGCCCAGAGTTCAAGCTCCAAGACTGAACGAGAAAAAAAAAACCTGAGCTGGGAATGTGGCTTAGTGGTAGAGGCTTACCTAGCATGCATGAAGCTCTGGGTTCAATTCCTCAGTACCACATACACAGAAAAAGCCAGAAGTGATGCTGTGGCTCATTGTAGAGCCCTAGCCTTGAGCAAAAAGAAGCTCATGGACAGTGCCCAGGCCCACAGTTCAAGCCCCAGGACTGGCCAAAAAAAAAAAAAAATTATTTGAAGCAAGAGCTTATTAAACTCCACAGCTGGAACCTTGCTGGCTACCCCAAGCCAAGATGTGGACAAATTCTGGATATAAAGTCTAGCCAGTACAAACAGTGTAAGTACCTGTAACGTGTCAGGTGGTAGACTTGTGAAGTAAAGCTAAGGCACACTTCCTGCCCTCACTGACCCAGCCGGTTTGGGAAGATAGGGTGCTGACATGAAAAAATAACTATCAAGTCAAAGCAGAGGACAGTGAAATGTCCGATTCAAACACAGGCCCCTTGGGTTTGGGCAGAGTTTTTATTTTTTATTTATTTTTATTTTTTGCCAGTCCTGCGACTTGAACGCTGGGCCTGAGCACTGTCCCTGAGCTTTTGTGCTAAAGGCTAGCGCTTTACCACAGTTCCACTTCTAGCTTTTTGTTTATGTTTTCGTTTTTTTGGGTCCGGTCGTGGGGCCTGAACTCTGGGCTTGGGCGCTGTCCCTCAACTCTTCAGCTCAAGGCTAGCACTCTACCACTTGAGCCACAGCACCACTTTCGGCTTTTTTCTATTTGCTTATGTGGTGCTGTGGAATCGAACCCAGGGCCTCAAGCATGCAAGGCAAGCGCTCTACCACTGAGCCACCTTCCCAGCCCCTAGCTTTTTGTTTAATTCGATGAGTCTCACAGACTTTCTTGCCGGGGCTGGGTTCAAACTGCCATCCTTAGATCTCAGCTTCCTTAGTAGCTAGGATTACAGGCCAGGAGTCATGTCGCTGAATGAAATTGCCTCAAGTGAAGAAGGCCACCAGGCCATCCTGGGAAAGGGGAAGAAGGTGAAGAGCCCAGGGCCTTTCCTAAGCTGTCCATTCCTTAAGAGTGAAGGCCACTGACCAGGGTACTGTGCTGGTCAGGCCTATAGACTGGGGTACTAAACTGGTCAAACTCAGAACATCCCACTCATCTTTGAGCATGAGTGTCACACTGCACAAAGCTTAGAACAGTTACGAGCAAAGCCATTTCTGGATAGCTGGATTCCCAGTGAAAATACCTACCTATTGTAGGCTGCTTCTCAAGACATCAGATGAAAATTACAGGGTTGCCACAGAGACCTAACCCACTATGTCCCAAATATTAAGTTTCCCATGGCTATATGGCAGATAACACCCAAAGGGATAAAGTACACCAAAGAAACTCTTACTCACATGATCAATAGTTTCATTTTCTTGGGGGTAATAATGTTCAGTGTTCCCAATGTCTTTCTTGCCTTCTTCCTATTGTCTTGGGGAGTACATTTCTTTCAGGTCATAGTCAAAATTGGACACATTTGAAAATTGTATTACCTAACCACTTACTAGCCAAATACAATTGGTAACCCATGTCCTGTAGAACTAAAGAAGGCACTAATTTAAAAAAATCAACAACTGGCCGGGCACCAGTGGCTCCTGCCTGTAATCCTAGCTACTCAGGAGGCTGAGATCTGAGGATTGCGGTTCAAAGCCAGCCCAAGCAGGAAAGTCCGTGAGACTCTTATCTCCAATAAACCACTGGAAAACCGGAAGTGGCACTGTGGCTCAAGTGGTAGAGCACTCGCCTTGAGCTGAAGAGCTGAGGGACAGCGCCCAGGCCCAGAGTTCAAGCCCCATAACCTACCAAAAAAAAAAAAAATCAACAACTGCTCCAATCCAGAGCCATTTACATGCTAGGCAACAGCTCTCTCACTGAATTATATCCCAGCCCCCTAACTGGAATTTTAAACATTGATGATATAGGGCTGAGAATGTGGGTTAGTGGTAGAGTGCTTGTCTAACATGCGTGAAGCCCTGGGTTCAATTCCTCAGTACCATATAAACAGAAAAAGCCAGAAGTGGCGCTGTGGCTAAGCAGTAGATTGCTAACCTTGAGCAAAAGAAGCTCAAGGACTGTCTGGGAACGTGGTTTCGTGGTAGAGTGTTTGCCTGGCATGCATGAAGCCCTGGGTTTGATTCCTCATTAGCACATTAACAGAAAAAGCGAGAAGTGGTGTTGTGGCTCAAATGGTAGAGTGCTAGCCTTGAGCTTTGAGAGGATCAGGATCAGTTCAAGCTGCAGGACTGGCAAAAAAAAAAATTGACTACTTAGAAAAGGAACTAGAGGAAAAAACACAACTTTCCCCCCACATTATTCTAGCAATCTCTGACTAAATGTTAAAAACAAACAAAACAAAACAAAAACACAAAAACTATTGTGACTCTTGCCTTATAATCCCAGCTACTCAGGAAGCTGAGATCTGAGGATCAAAGTTCAAAGCCAGTCCCAGTAGAAAAGACCACGAAACTCTCCAACTGACCAGTAAAGACCCTGGAATGGCTGGGCGCCAGTGGCTCACACCTGTAATTCTAACTACTCAGGAGGCTGAGATCTGAGGATCACAGTTCAAAGCCAGCAAGGGCAGGAAGGCCCATGAGAACCTTATCTCCAATTAATCACCAAAAAAAGCTGGAAGTAGAGCTGTGGCTCAAGTGGTAGAGTGCTAACCTTGAGCAAAAAAGCTCAGAGACAGTGTCTAGGCCTCAGTCCAAGCCCCAGGACTGGCACAAAAAGCCAGGAATAGATATGTGGCTCAAGCAGCAAAGTACCAGCCCTGGGCAAAAAACTAAGGGATAGCACCTAAGCCCTTAGTTCAGGCCCTTCTTCTGGCACAGACATGCACAAGCACACATACAAAATCTATTACAATGTTTAAAAGTATCTATGAAGTATTAGATGCTACACACAAAGATAGGTGTGTGGTATACACTATATAAGTTCACAAGCATTGATGGGATTGTCTGCTAGCATTTTATAAAGGTAATAAAGCTACATTAGGTAGACTGATTGATTTGGTATAGGTTTTTGAAGAAATGCCTCTGGGGAGGAACACAAAGGTGCAATGCCTATGTGCATGTGATCATATAAAATAATATTTATAAAATGAACTCCAGGAAATAGAAACAAGAGGGTTTTTTCTTCAATGCTGTTTTTCTTTTATTTTCTTTTTGTTGTGGTTGTTCATTTATCTGGGAGATAAAGAAATGGAGGGACAAAGGGTGAACAAATGCAGCAGTGTTACTCAATAGAGACTATGTTGAAAATGAACGATACAAAATTTTGTGAGTGGACACAGGAAGGAAAAACTTGGAGAAAGTGAGGGAAGGGGTGACAGTGTTCAGAAAGAAACGCACTCATTACCTGACTTATGTAACTGTAACCCCTCTGTACGTTACCTTTATAATGACAGTAAAAAACATTTTTCAAAAGAAATGCCTCTGATAAATGCAGTCATGGTATTCAATATACACTATGTAAAGAATGAACTATGTAACTTGGGGGCAGGAATGGGAAGGAGAAACGGGGGGGGGGAAGTGAAAGAAGAGGCAACATTGTTCAAGAAGCAATGTACTCATTACCTGATTTATGGAATTATAACCCTCTGTATAACAACTTAATAATAAAAAAAGAAATGCCTCTGATATTATGCTTCTGATGTTTATTTATTTGTTAAGCATTACATAGAATAATGCATAACCATTTAGCAAGAGCTGATGACTATAACTGAGTCATTTTTGCATCAATCAGGAAACTGCTTCCTTAATCAATGTTCTCCAAGCCCTGAAAAAGTTTAAAAAGGAGATTGTGAAAATGCTGTTCCTGTTAGATATATCATATTCTTTATTTCCAGTGTCATAGAACAATTTTTCTATTAGAGAAAATAATTTCATATCCCACGTTTCTCTAACAGAAAAATATGCAATTTAACTTAATTTTATAATCACTAAAGAATCTATAATGATTCCATTTTACATTTCTTAACATATTGCTTTGTACAAAAAGACCCTCCTCCCACCACAATCAAAATTAAAGTCAAGCAACTATTTACCAGCTGCATCCTTATACAAAGCTCCCTTAAAAAATCAGGAAAAAAATCTGTTTGACAAGGTAACTTCCAATAAGCTGGGCACCAGTGTCTCATGCCTATAAGTCTAGCCACTCAGGAGGCTGAGATCTGAAGATCAAGGTTCAAAGCCAGTCCAGGCAGAAAAGTACCCATTAGACTCTTATCTTCTATTAGCTACTCAAAAACTAAAAGTGGAGCTGTGGCTCAAAATGGGTAGAATGCTAGCCTTGTGCAAAAGAGCTCAGGGACAACACCCAGGCCCTGAATTCAAGCCCCACAACAAACACCCCCCGCCCTCCCCAAAAAAGCAACTGCCAATAAACAGTACACACTATTATTCTCATTCCATTTTTTTTACAAATGCTTATATTGTCTTAAAACAAAAATCATTTCCTTAGGTTGGTAAGGAAATAAAAGAGCCAGAATTCAAGTACAGAGACTCAATTTCAAAACTTTTGCCCAGTAAGCACTAACTACTCATTCATTCAAAAGGCCTACTGGGGCTGGGAAGGTGGCTCAGTGGTAGAGCGCTTGCCTTGCATGCCTGAGGCCCTGGGTCCAATTCCTCAGCACCACGTAAGCAGAAGAAAAAAAAAAGGCTAGGAAGATGGCTCAGTGGTAGAGCGCTTGCCTTGCATGCATGATGCCCTGGGTTCGATTCCTCAGCACCACATAAGCAGGAAAAAAAAGCCAGAAGTGGCGCTATGGCTCAAGTGGTAGAGCGCTAGCCTTGAGCTGAAGAGCTGAGGGACAGCGCCCAGGCCCAGAGTTCAGGCCCCACGACGACCCCAAAAAAAAAAAAAAGGCCTACTATATCTTACTCAGTTCACAATCAAAATGCTTCAGAATCTACAATAGTGACAACGTTTCTTCCAGGTTATTAAAATAAGTTTTGGGGTGACTGTCCAAAAAGAAATGCACTCTTTATCTGACTTATGTCACTGTAAGCCCTCTGTACATTACCTTTATAATAACAATAAAAAAATTTTTTTAAGTTTGGTGCTGCAGGAGGAATCAACTTGAGAGGAGAAGTCTTTACATGCCGAGTGATTCTGATAGTTCTGTGGGACTTTACTATGAGAAACACAGCTCTAGATAAGTATATGTGGTCATCCCCATTATGTGCACAGGTATGTTCTAAAACTCCCAAAAGATATCTGTACCCATAGAGATTACCAAACCCTGTATGCACTATTTTTAACAATGGGTACTGAAATCACTGAAAGAAAAACTGCAGGGCTGGGAAAGTGGCTCAGTGGTAGAGCGCTTGCCTTGCATGCATGAGGCCCTGGGTTTGATTCCTTAGCACCACATAAGCAAAAAGGAAAAAGCCGGAAGTGGCGCTGTGGCTCAAGTGGTAGAGCGCTAGCCTTGAGCTGAAGAGCTGAGGGACAGCACCCAGGCCCGGAGTTCAGGCCCCACGACCGGACCCAAAAAAAAAAAAAAGAAAAAGAAAAAGAAAAACTGCAACTAAGGGGTCTATTTACTATCTGTGTTCATTAAATTTGGTTCTCAATAGCACTATGCTAAGAGACAAGTTACCTAGGCTGAACCTTTATAGTATTATTCATTCACTCTGACCCTCTGAATTCTCATCTATAAAATATTTGCCATACACAAAACTTTTTGAAAACAATCCAGATTATAGAAAGAGCAATCACAAACCAAAAAGGAGAAAAAAAAAAAAAACTAGAAAAGGTAAAGGAAGGCAAATATTTCACAAGATAAAAATACAAAAGATGGGGCTGGGAATCTGGCTTACTGGTAGAGTGCTTGCCTAGCATGCATGAAGCCCTGTATTTGATTCCTTAGTACCACATAAACATAAAAAGCCAGAAGTGGTGCTGTGGCTCAAGTGCTAGAATGCTTGTCTTGAGCAAAAGAAGCTCAGGGACAGTGCTCAGGCCCTGAATTCAAGCCTCAGGATTGGCAAAAAAAAAAAAAAAAAAAGACATCATATATGTAAGGGTGCTCACTTCACTATCAGAAAATGAAAAGTAAGTACTATGAAGGCCGGGAAGGTGGTCGGTGGTAGAGTGCTTGCCTAGCATGCATGAGGCCCTGGGTTCAATTCCTCATCAACACATAAGCAGAAAAAGCAGAAAAAAAAGTACTGTATTATTTTTCCCAAGGCATCACCAGAGCCCACCATAATCCTGGTAGATAACAACCATCAGAGTCATCTTACCTTGGACACATAGTAACGGTTGACTCCAGAGACACGTCTATCTCTTTCCATTACAGCCCAGTGGTAAGGAAAATAGGTCATCCTTTTTTCCTTCAAATGGAAGACAAGTATTGCAGTTTATAAAGATGGTCTAGAAGTTGGATTTCACTTCTTTCTTGCTTTCTTTCTTTCTTTCCTTTCTTTCTTTTTGGTTGGTCGTGGGGCCTGAATTCTGGGCCTGGGCGGCACTGTCCCTCAGCTCTTTAGATCAAGGCTAGCACTCTACCACTTGAGCCACAGTGCCACTTCTGGCTTTTTCTGCTTATGTGGTGCTAAGGAATCAAACCCAGGGCCTCATGCATGCAAGGTAAGCATCTACCCCTGAGCCACCTTCCCAGCCCAGGATTTTAAGACTTTCAAGAAGTGACAAGCCAAGCTGGGCGCTGGTGGCTCACGCCTGTAATCCTAGCTACTCAGGAGGCTGAGATCTGAGGATCGCGGTTCAAAGCCAGCCCGGGCAGGAAAGACCACCAGAAAACCGGAAGTGGCGCTGTAGCTCAAGTGGTAGAGCGCTTGCCTTGAGCTGAAGAGCTGAGGGACAGCGCCCAGGCCCAGAGTTCAAGCCCCAGGGCCGACAAAAAAAAAAAAAAAGAAGTGACAAGCCAGATGTTGGTGGCTTATGCCTATACTCCTAGCTACTCAGGAGGCTGAAATCTGAGGATGGTAGCTTTATGCCAGCCCTGGGAGGAAAATCCACCTCCCAACCAGAAGTGAGCACTAGCCTTGTGCAACAAGAGCTCAGGGTCAGTGTACAGGCCCTGAATTCAAGCCTCAGGACCACCCCCCCCCCAAAAAAAAAGATGACAAACTAGAAAAACAGAATCATCATCACTGTAATAAAAAAAAGCCAATGTATAACCAAAATCTAACAAATAAAACTCGACCACTAAAATTTAGGATTAACTTTAAAAATCCTGGGGCTAAGATTATGGCTCTGGGGTAGAGCACCTGCTTAGTAAGTGTGAGGCCTTGGGTTCAAACCCTAATACTGCCAAGAAAAAAAAAATGTGGTAGCTGTCTTCTTACAGTTCTTATTTTTACAAACATCATTTTTTTTCCTTTCTTGTGTTTTTTTGAACCTTTTAAAAAATTATTTTATTGTGAAAATGTCCTATAGAGGGGCTACAATTACATGGACAAGATAATGAGTACATTTATTTTTTGTTGTTGTTGTTGTTGGTCGTAGGGCTTGAACTCTGGGTCTGCGCGCTGTCCCTCAGCTCTTCAGCTCAAGGCGAGAGCTCTACCGCTTGAGCCACAGCGCCACTTCCGATTTTCTAGTTGTTTATTGGAAATAAGAGTCTCACGCTGGCTTTGAACTGCGATCCTCAGATCTCAGCCTCCAGAGTAGCTAGGATTACAGGCGTGAGCCACCGGCAACCAGCTGTGAGAACATTTCTTATCAAGCATTGTAGCCTCCTCCTTTGTTTCCTCTTCCCATCCCTTCCCATCCTCCCCCGTCCCCCCCATTTTCTTGTGTTTTAATATGTGCAAATTGCTGCCTTTTGTGATCCTAAGGAACAATAAAGGTAGATCACACTGAAGAACAATGCCAAATCCAAAAAGCAAACCAACGTAAAACTAGACCATAATGAGTGGAAAGTAAAAAATCCTTCCGTGATTTCCCTGCAGAATAAAGTAGGGGAAAAATTTAAGTGTGTGTGGAGGTATAGGAGAAATAGGTGTAGTGTACACTTGTAATCCCAGCACTTGAGAGACTGAGACCATCAAATTTGCTAGCCTGGGCTAGGACCATAAGTCTAGAAAAGGAGAGGAGCTAAGGGTAGGGGGAAAAAGTAAGAAATGTATAGACATGTAGATGTGAGAAATTAAAACCCAAGTCAACAATAACGGAGACGTGAGGTCAGAAGGAGCGACAAGATTCTCGTTGGCCTAGGAATTTGGACCTACGTCAAATCTACCGTTCCAGATTCCGAGTGGTTACTCAGCTCGGCGCCCGGTCTTTCCAAGCCCCAAACTAGCTGTTTCTGGCTAAAGGATGTGTTTTCCTCCGGGCACCTTGGAGAGCGCCTGCGCGGCCGGTCGCCCCACCCCCACTACCGGCAGCGGAGTCGGCCTCGTGCCGGTAAACCTTACCTTGCCTCCGTTAGTGAACTTATGTATGTAAGAAGTGGACACTCCCGGAATGACCAGGCACACGCCCATGATGAGCAGTCCCGGGACAATCTCGAACCACATCCCGGACCGGTTATTTAGATCCAAATCCTTTCCTCCAACGCCTTAAAGGTGACCGAACTACGGTTACCTTCTCCGCAAACCCCGCGACACCACGCGAGAGGGGCGGTGCCACGTACGTCTTCGCGAGAAGAGACGGGGTCCGCCAAGGCTCAAAAAGGTACTATCGCTCGCGCAGCTGCACTCGCTTTCCGGCATTTCATAGATCAGCTTCTTTTCGCTCCGCTCTGATTTACGGCAAAGCAGACGGCATTTAAGGAAGGGGCTCGGGGCCACCTTGCACTCCGCATCAGTTTCAAAGCTCTGAGAATCGCAGATGGCAGAGCAACTTTCACCAGGCAAGTCGACAGACCGGGTCTGTACCTTCCTTTTCAAAAAGCCTGTGCGGAAAGGAGCTGCAGGCCGCAGAAAGCGGCGGATCTGTGAGCCGGAACCCGGAGAAAGTAGCAGCAGCAGCGATGAAGGCAGCACTGTGGTTCGACCGGAGAAGAAGCGGGCGACCCACAATCCAATGATCCAGAAAACCCGGGGCAGCGGCAAACCCAAAGCAGCCTACGGTACACTAAGTAGCGAGGAGGAAGAGGAAAATGCGCCCGAGAGCCTCGGCGTGGTCTACAAGTCCACCCGCTCTGCGAAACCTGTGGGGCCAGAAGATATGGGAGCGACAGCTGTATACGAGCTGGACACAGAGAAGGAACGTGACGCACAGTCTATCTTTGAGCGTAGCCAGAAGATCCAGGAGGAGCTGAGGGGCAAGGAAGATGACAAGATCTATCGGGGAATCAATAACTACCAGAAATTCATGAAACCCAAGGATACATCCATGGGCAATGCCTCCTCCGGCATGGTGAGGAAGGGCCCCATCCGAGCTCCCGAGCACCTACGTGCCACGGTACGCTGGGATTACCAGCCCGACATCTGTAAAGACTACAAAGAGACTGGCTTCTGCGGCTTCGGAGATAGCTGCAAATTCCTCCACGACCGTTCAGATTACAAGCACGGGTGGCAGATCGAACGTGAGCTTGATGAAGGTCGCTATGGTATCTACGAGGACGAAAACTACGAAGTGGGAAGCGATGATGACGAAATACCATTCAAGTGTTTCATCTGTCGCCAGACCTTCCAAAACCCAGTTGTCACCAAGTGCAAGCATTATTTCTGCGAGAGCTGTGCACTGCAGCATTTCCGCACGACCCCACGCTGTTATGTCTGTGACCAGCAGACCAATGGCGTCTTCAATCCTGCCAAAGAATTGATTGCTAAACTGGGAAAACATCGAGCGACGACGGAGGATGATGCTTCTGATTTCCCAGAAGACCCCGAGGAAGGTCCGATTCCCATCACTTAGGTTTAACATTATTATCAAATGTCAAAATAAATATTTCGCTGTTCATTTTGGACTCCGTGTCCTTTCTGTTTTAGAAAACTAACAGAAGATAGGTAGTGATGGAGGGTCGTGGATTAAATGCTTCGAGGTGGGTGTTACCTGAATTTTAGTTTTGGGATAAATACTTGCTCTGTGTTTATTTTTAGAAGCATCTTCCATAAATGATGAGGATGGGAGAAGTTGGAGAAAAGAGCTAGTATTATGTGTGAAGTAACGAATTCTCTCATGTAAGCAATAACTGAACCGTTTGGGTGTGAGTGTGGGTGTGCACGCGTATGCTCCTACTGGAGCTTGAACTCGGCCTGGACGCTGTTCCTTGGTTTTTGTGCTCAATGCTTATGCTCTATGACTTGAGCCACACTTCCACTTACAGCTTTTTGCTGATGATCAAACCACGATCATCAGATATCAGCCTCCTGAGTACCTTGGATTACAGACGTGAGCTACCGGTGCACAGCTCTGAACCTACTTTTTTTTTAATTAATTTACGGTATTGTTCTTATTAGAGGTAATGTGCAGAGGGATTACAATTACAAGTCAAGTAATGAGTATATTTCCTTTTGTACAGTGTGTGTGTGTTTATATGATAAGTCTTGAAGTTTAGGTGAATATTCTAAATTTGATAGGTTTTTAATTTAATTTTTATTTAAATTTTATTGTAGACATACAGAGAAGTTATGTTACATAAGTCAGGTAATGAGTACATTTCTTTTTGAACAGTATTACCCCCTCCTCATTTTCTCCCACTTTTTTCCCTCCCAATCCCCCCTCATGCAGTGTCTTCTGTCCCCTTGACTCTTTTTTTTTTTTTTGTCGGTTGTGGGGCTTGAACTCTGGACTTGGGCATTGTCCCTGCGCTAGCGCTCTACCTCTTGAGCCACAGCGCCTCTTCCGGTTTTGTAGTGGTTTACTGGAAACCAGAGTCTTATGGACTTTCCTGCTCAGGCTGGCTTTGAACCGTGGTCCTCAGATCTTAGCTTCCTGAGTAGCTAGGATTACAGGGAGCCACTGGCACCCAGTGAACCTATTTATTAGATCACTTTGTTTAAGCATAGTTTAAACGTGCTTTGCAGCATAATCTCTTTAAAATACGTCTGACAGTAGAGGTGTGGCTCACTGGTAAATTGCTCCTTTAGCAAATATGAGACACTGAATACAAACTTCAGTACAGCCAAAAAATAAATAAATAAATAAAAATAAGAAGCATCAGAGTCCAGGAGTTGAGACAGGAACCAACGCCACAATGCATATGTGGAGAGTGGTCCTTGCTCTGTTTGGGGGTGGTCTTTGCTTTCTTTGAAGTACTTGTAGGGAATCCCCATTTCTATGGATGATAAAAGTGCTCTGTACTGTGCTGTGCAGTATTATGATAGCATCTTACCTTACGTGGAGGTTGAGTGCAAGAAATGGGGCTAGAGGCTAAGGTTTTGAGTGTTCACAGTCCAGACTGAACTTTCAAACTTGAGGGGACAAAAGCTTATTTTATAATCCAGTGTCCATTTTGTAATCCATGGAAATAACCATGTTCCAACAGACTCTTAATAGAGTGGACCATACCCTCTTTTTTTAATTTTTTATTGTTATTAATATTTTTTAAATCTTTTATTGTTATAAAGGTGATGTACGGGGGGGCGGCGGGTAACAGTTACATTAAGTCAGGTAATGAGTATACTTTTTTTTGTCGATAGTGGGGCTTGAACTCTGGGCTTGGGCACTGTCCCTCAGCTCTTCAGCTCAAGGCTAGCACTCTACCACTTGAGCCACAGTGCCACTTCCGGTTTAGTAGTGGTTTATTGGAGATAAGATTCTCACGGACTTTCCTGCCCGGGCTGGCTTTGAACTGTGATCTTCAGATCTCAGCCTCCTAAGTAGCTAAGATTACAGTGAGCCACCAGCGCCCAGCCAAGTATACTTCTTTTTGGACCCGTTCCCTTGCTCTCTCTCAGTTTTTCTCTCTTGTCCCCAAGACCCTCTTAAAGTTAGTCACTATTCCTAGTACTTGGCATGTAGAAATATAACAATAAAGGGCTGGGAAGGTGGCTCAGTGGTAGAGCACTTGCCTTGCAATGCATGAGGCCCTGGGTTCGATTCCTCAGCACCACATAAGCAAAAAGAAAAAAGCCGGAAGTGGCGCTGTGGCTCAAGTGGTAGAGCGCTAGCCTTGAGCTGAAGAGCTGAGGGACAGCGCCCAGGCCCAGAGTTCAGGCCCCACGACTGGACCCAAAAAAAAAATCTATTAAACAAAAAGAAATATAATAATAAGACCAGGAGATTTAAGAAGGGAGATTCAGGACTGGGAATGTGGCTTAGTGGTAGAGCCTAGCATGCATGCAGCCCTGGGTTTGATTCCTCAGTATCACATACACAGAAGAAACTGGAAGTGGTGCTGTGGCTCAAGTGGTTTGGTGCTAGTCTAGCAAAAGGAGTTCAGGGACAGCCCAGGCCCTGAGTTCAAGCTCCGGGACAGCTAAATAATAATAATAAAATAAATTTAAATGAACCACGGGAAAGTAAAATAGGCTACATTGGGGATCAGGTATCAGCCATCAGGAGTGAGGAAGACCAACAGAGAGGGTGGATATGGTCCAAGTATTTTATATCCATATATGAAAACAGAGCAATGATGCCTGTTGAAATGTTTTAAGTAACAATGAGATGTACAAGTGGTTACGTCAAAAAACGAACTTTACAACTTTGGCGGGGGGGAGTTGAGAAGGGATAGGAAGGAGAAACAAAGGAGGAAGCAATAACACTTGATAAGAAATGTATTCATTATCTTGCCCATATAATTGTAACTCCTGTACGGTATTTTCATAATAAAAAAAATTTAAAAAAGAAACGGGGAGGGCCAGGCACTGGTGGCTCAGGAGGATGAGATGTAAGGATTACGGTTCAAAGCCAGCCCAGACAGGAAAATCCACGAAAGTCTTATCTCCAATTAACCACCAAAAAACTGGAAGCGGCACTGTGGCTCAAGTTGTAGAGCGCTTGCCTTGAGCTTCTCCAGGAGAGAAATTGTAAAAATTAAGGTTCATATGTCTGTGTAGGTAGTTTAGGTGTTTTCTGCTTTTCTAGCATGTATTCCTAGCACTTGAGAGGCTGGAGCAGAAACATCTTCAGTTCAAGGACAGCTTGGCCTACACATCAAGACCCTGTTTTTTGTTTTTTAAAGATGTTCAGGTTACTAGCTTTCTGTTTATTTTCATGTTTTCACTGATGGGGATGGTACCCAGAGCCTCATGCATGCTAGGCAAGTGTTCTATCACTAAGCTTCATCCCCAGCCTTCTTTTCCTTTAATTTGGTTTAATAAACACTTTTTAAATGGTGGTCTATTATAACCAACCTTTTTTCTTTCTTTATTGGGATATAAATAGTGGTGGTGATATATTCAATAGTATTGGAAATTTGATGTAATGCAAATGCTTTCTCATTAGGGAAGATTTAAAAATGTAGGGCTGATATATTCATGTAAAATAATATTTCACAATTTAAGCTGGGCACTGGTGGCTCACGCCTGTAATCCTAGCTACTCAGGAGGCTGAGATCTAAGGATTGCAGTTTGAACTAATCCCAGGCAGAAAAGTCTGTGAGACTCATCTCCAATTAACCATTCCAAAAACTGGAGCTGTGGCTCAAAGTGGTAGAGCACTAGCCTTGAGTACAAAAGCTCAGGGACAGCACCCAGGCCCTGAATTCAAGTCCCATAACC